TAACTCCCGATCAAATCTTTCACTTTTGACCCACTAGAATCTAGATGCTATAGCAGCTGTTGTAGATATTTTCTATATACGAACTATATTGAAAAGTTTTATATTATGGAAGCAGAATTTATTAATATGCAATAATATTTGCATATTTAATGCCATTTGATTTAAAAAAAAACCTAAACTACAGCAATGAACCGTCTCTCTCGCTTTCCGTCTCTCTCGCTTTCCGTCTCTCTCACTCTTCAACTAACCTATTCACATAATCAACAGTTTTAGCAAAACTTTCTAGTTATGTCATTTCACAAAATATAGTATGAAATTTAAATGTAAATCTTTTATTTATGCGAATTGCCATTGCATGTAACGTGCGCCCTCTGGCCCCTCGTATATTTTAATGCCCTTTGCGAGCGAAACAAAATTCTCAGCTGCAAACCAAGCGGAACGCAATGGGCGTAAAAGAGATAGGGCAACAGGGCGCGACGGGCGGCAAAGGGGAGCACGACGAGGGGTAATGAGCGTGCCTCTAACTGAAGTATTTTAATGATGAGCGAGAGCAAGGCTTTGAGCGGGAGTAGCTGATGCAACAGGTGTGCTTTTTTTTTGCACCGGGTTCTCTTGATCAACACGAGAGCTTGTCATTTGAAATGTCTGGGTAAATGCTATATATAGAAACATGTTGAGTTGATAATATTTTGAGAAGAGTATGATATTTGATATACATCTAGATAAAAGAGGAATAGGTATGTTTAAGCATACAAACATATATTATTATAACAATAACATATATTATATTAACAATAATGTTTTTCTGGGAATTTTAAAATTAATTTTTTTAATTAGCTTGAATTCTCTTTTAAATCAATTAAACTTTTGAAAGATGAGTAAATGAAATAAAATAAATGGACTAAATCTACATTATGATAATAGATTTAGCTTGAATTCTTTTATAGATAAATTAAAGCTAAATCAACACTTTAAAGATAACAATATTTAGCTTGAATTTCTGTTTATTAGATTTGACATATTTAAATTTGTTAGCGAAAAAGTTCTGTTATGACCAAGTTTAGCAAATTCTCTTGTTTGCTCGGTCTTGTCAGACTTTGCTTGTCTTCCTTGAGAATATCTAATCTTGGGCTTATATGTGCAGTATATATTTAGCATATACTTGTAAGCATATTTACAAATTAAAAATAAATATAAGAAAGTTAGGGTATTGTTTTACCTTTAAGATATCTTAGCTTTTAGTTGCCGCAAAAATGTTAAATATTCCCATATAAACTGAAGCAATAGACTAAATGGAATAAGTTTCTCAGTGTTAGAAAGAGAGAGAGAATGAGAGTGAGTATGAGCGAAAAGCTAATGAAAGAGAGAAAGGTTCGATTTTACATTGTTGGGATCGAAGCTGACATTATAAAACTCATATAAAGAAACGATTCCATCGATTTTATAGAGTATCTAAACTTCATCTTTTGTGCAACAATTCTTATATACAAATACATGTATATGTATATGCAAACCTTATCATATTTATGATATATATACATATATATATATATATACAATATAACGAAAGACAATGCAAAAGAGAGCAAAAGTATTTTGAGGGACTTGAAAACAGACGAAATTTAATAATCAATTTCCGGTCGGCGTTTCAATTACACAAAAATTGCGAGTGGTTTGCAAAGTGGTTGTTGCTGTTCATTTAACGGAGCCTGAGAAATTGGGCATATCAAGGTTACCTAGCAGAGACGTACAGCTGGCCAAATATTAGCGCACATTGCCAATTGATTTTGTATATAAAAAAAAAAGTAAATATAATAATAATAATAATAAAACACCAAATGTGACCTTAAACATGTTTTATTTAAACCGCTTCGCCGCTGTGGTTTTCGCTTTTATTTTATTGCTGATTACATGTCATTACCTTGATCGTTTTTATAATTAACTGTCAGCTCGGTGCGTTGTTTTTTATTTAAATACACTGTTTTTTTTTTTTTTTTTTTTTTTTGCTTCTATCATTTTAATGCGAGCGAAGCTTTTGAAAACTTGTTCAACTACAATTTGGGTTAATAACTTTTAGTTTTTTTCTGTTTGTTTTTAGTTAGTTAGTTTTGACATAAGCTGTCTCTTAGTCAAATACTCCATTTTCTGCTGCAGTTGCTCGACTCATGCCGCATTCTAATGTCGTAAAGCACATTGCTGATTTGCACCTGCTGCCACATTTGGCTTAAATTTTCGGCTGCCATTTTGCCACTTTTGATGCCAATTTCAATTTGCATCAATGAAATCAAATGCGAAAAACCACTGCATCAAACAAATCAACGCCAACTGCATTGCTCAAATTGTTTTTATACCCTGCACGAATGGCATGACACGGGTATGCCAGAGATGGGCAGATAAACGTCGTTGATGTTACTATTTAAAATATGTATGTTGATGCTAGATTTATTTAAAATTTATTAAGAATTTATCAAAAATCCTATGAAGGACCACAAAGTACTTTTAAAATAAAAATTAAAATAGCTGAAATTAACTTTTCTATTCAATGCATTACTCTCTCTCTCTCTCTCTCTCTCTCTCTCTCTCTCTCTCTCTGCCTCTGCCTCGCTCGGTAAATTCGCTGTATTCTGTCAATAGTCGCTTTTTTCCTCTCTCTGTCTCTCACATTCTCTCGCGTACACACACTCGCTCTGTCACTCTTTCTATCACACATAATCACAGTCTCTTTCTTTTTCTCCTAAAATTAGTGCTTCTATTCAGTGCATTTGTCTCTCTCTCACTCTCTACCCCTCTCTCTCTCTCTCACTCGCCATTCTGTCAATACTCGCTCCTTTTTTCTCTACATTCCATAGATTCGATATATTTTTTCCTTATTTTATATATACACATATATACATATATCATATGCTGAAACCTCTATTGATATATATCCTTCTCATCACTCTTTTAGAGGGTCTTCTTTGCAAATGTCATTCACTTTATAGGGTAATTTCTATTTCAGCAATACGAAATCCCTTATATTTTACTCATAAGATTGTTTTTCCTATTCTAATTTTGTATGATGTCTTACATTTCCTTTGCGGCCAAGGCATACTCGACTTGCCCCTCAACATGGCCAGCAAAAAAATGGAATGAAAAAATTACGAAAATTACATTCAACACGATTTCCGCTTCAATGTTTCAAGCACTTCAAATAGGTATACTCACATATGTTTGATAAAGAGCATTTGCTTCGCCACATATGAAACTTCCAGTTTTCCCTCCAGTTTTCATTTTTCAGCTGCTGAAAATTGCTGCACAAATTGCGCAACTTTGCAACACATTCAAATTGCTGGTCGAGCCAACACTTTGGACAATTTTCGCGTTGCCAATTTGCGGGCAAGTGTTGCCAACTGATTTATAAATTTAAATATGTTTTTTCTTCTCTTCTTCATTTGGTTGTTTTTCTCACATATAACTGAATCAAAGTAGTTCGTCTTATTTATTTGGCTTGGAAAAACTTTGCAATTCGCATTGGTTGCTCTTCTTCTTCTAATTATAGTTTTTCTTTAGTTTATTTCTGCTCGCGTTTTATAGCCTTGCTGAAAATAACTCACAAGCCAGATGAGACATTTTTTTTTTCCTTTTTTTTATTTTTTTTATTTCTAGCCCAACTGTGCAAAGTGGGTTAATGAGTTCACTTTGTGGGCATGGTCACTTGGGTTGTGGTTGGGCGAGGCTAACACCGAACCTCATACAAGCTTTTAATTGTTGTTGCTATGCAGTTTGTTGCTTTGTTATTAATTTTTAATTTTAAATTTTGGGCAAACATTTGACCTGAAATTTTGCTTTTAATTTCAATTTAGCTGAAAAATAGCTACGCTTTGGCTTGAATTATAAAAGTTTCTTTGCAGCTTCCGCAGCTGTTAACTTGTGTATTTTAAATTAATGTATACAGTTTTAAAGCCATTTGCACTTGTTCATATGTAACGCATTTAACACAAATATTTTCTTTGAAGTTTTTCACTTGCAGGCAAACGAAAATTATTTCTTCAAGCGACAAATATTTTTACTTATTTTTATATAAAAATAAATATTGAAATGGGTTTTATTTAAATTATTGTCTTTAATTTTGTTCGTATTCGTTTTAATTGTATTCTTTTATATTTTTATTAATTTAAATTTCCATTATTTCTGTTTATTGATATTTTTTAATTTTTTTTTTAATATTTAATTTCATTTATTTATTTTTATATATTTTAATTTATCTTATAATTTTTTTTTTGTATATATACATATATATTTTATTTATTTTTTTATTTATTTATTTATTTTTTTTTTTGTTATTTGATTTTTATATGTTAATCTATAGTTTTATGATAATTTATTTTTTTATTACAAAATATAAAATTTTATATTTATGTTATTTATACAAATTTATATATTTGAATACCTTATAAATATATTAATTGTTTAATTTATATGTATGAAATATATATGTTTATCTCAATTTATACATACATCTTTAAGAATTTCACATAGAAAACTCGCTGCACCAAATTCAAATGTCTCCCAACAATTTCCACACACCTGCACATGCAAAAATATTTCCACATTTCTTACGTTTGACACTTTTTCTCTAAATGCACTTTATACTTGTTGTTGCTGTTGTTATTGCTTTATTTATTTTTATTTTTTCTTTTCTTCCACTTTTACAACTTAATTTTAGTTATTTTCGTCGCAATTATTTTGTCTCTGACGTTTGGTTGCTTTTGTTGTTGGTCTTGTTGCTGTTTTTGCTGTTGTTGTTACAGTTTTCCTTCTTTCTTCAATGTCAACAAGTTTATTTGCATTTTTCGCTCAATGCACAATCAGTTTATAGAAATGTCTTAACGGGGCTTCCAATCGAAGGGCGATTAATGGCCATTTATTGGGGCGTTTAGGAGATTTAATTAAATCTTGATTAACAGTTTTTACAATGTTTGGTCTATTGTAACTTGACTTTATATATGTATATAGTTTGCTATATTTAAATCTTACTTTATTCTAACATATATTTTCTTAATCTTTTACAGCTCCGGCCGCAGGCAAATAAGTTCCAATGCCTTAGCCAGGTAAATATAAAAATAAATGAACAAAAAATAACAACCATAAATTCGATTGTATATTAATTCAGTTTGACAGCCACTGTGCTACACTAACTGCTAAGCAGCCAATGCACAAATCTCATTGCTGTGTGTCTTGGCTAAACACAGTTTGTGAAGCATAGTCACTTGCAGTTGAAATGCCATTATGGTAAGGTTTCTGTCTGTGCTAAACGAAGCGCTTCAAGTTTATAGTTGAGTGTGGGCAATTTATAAGTAAATTTAGTAAAGACACAAATCATGCCGAGGCGTTCACAATAGTCGCAGCTATAAACATTTATAAAATTCATTAGAGTTATGCGTTAAATTTACAATTTCATTGAATTCAAAATTCATTTGCTGAAATATTTACCCATTTCAATTGATTTCTTTTCGATTTGCAGCCAACTGTACAGATCATCGAGTTTCAACTCTTCCGGCCGTAGCTCTAACTGTGATACAACTGAGGATATGTACAGCGATATAAGCCTCGAAAATCGTCATGATTACGATTATAGGGTAAGTTTGAATTGCAATAGATTTGCAGTAAATAAAAACGAAAAGTAAAATTTTGATAAATAGGCAAAAGGCGAATGAAAAGATTCGTTGAATAAGTTATTGAGTTAAAATAAAAGTTGAAAATATGGGAAAAGCGCTTGAGATGAGTTAGAAACAAGTAAGAAGGCTCCAGTCGAGACTGCTCGACTAGGAGATACCCTGAACCCTCCAAGCTGATATTCTAATCATTCTGCACTTCTTTTACATACATACACCTGCACTTATAAGCACGCGCTCTGCTAACTGCGCAGTAAGCAGCGACTACGCTTGGGCTGCGCTGCAATGTGCAATATTATGACAATTTATTTGTTGAATAATTTCTTTTGTAGACATACAATCTTAATGAAACTTTTAAAGCGTAATCATATGACTAAAATGTGTGTACATTCCAAAGCACAAGTCTCTAGTACTTGAAATGCGTTTTTTACAAATTGGGGGCGAAGGGGGCGTGGTATCCAAAATCTGTAAATTACAAAATCTTTGTATCGATTAACTTTATATACAACGCAAATTTGAAGACTCCAGGTTTAAAAGTGTTCAAACTAGGCTGAAAAACCCAAGTCGATTTTTCGATTATTCTCGATAAAAAAGTTATCGGATGAGTTATCGAAAAAATAATGCAAACTCGTACTGCCTATGGTATACACGAGTATGCATGCCAAATTTCAGCTCTCTAGCTCTTATATCTTCTGAGATCCTTTTGCTCATACGGACGGACGGACAGACGGACAGGGCTATATCGACTCAGCTCGTCGTCCTGATCAAGAATATATATACTTTATGGGGTCTGCGATGATTCCTTCTGCCTGTTACATACTTTTCACAAAACCATTATACCCTGATTTCCCATTTTCAATGGGTTCAGGGTATAAAAAATGTAGGTGTATGCTTAAAGTAGTTAAAAATGATATATTTCAATACGTTTTTAATATTTATTGCAAATTAAAATATTTTAAACAAACTTTAGTAGCTTGAGTTTAATCATGAAATAAAAAATTAAATTAGTTACAAATTATAAGAACTTAAAATTACATTATTATATTTTTAATTGATTTTATGACTTAAACTTATATTTTAAAATTTTTTTCTTGCGCTATTATTATTATAGCGCTCAATATTTCTAATTTAAGAAATTATTTAAAATATATTAATGGAAACTGTAAACTTTAATAACTTAAAGCAAGAGAATATTTCAAGTAACTTTCCAGTCTTTAAGTTAACCTTATATATGTTTTAAACAAACTTTCGTTTCTTAAGCTCAATTTGTTCGGTTTTTTTTTTTTGTCAAATTGCTCACTGAATTCTTTTGCAATTTATCTTGCACAAAACAGTTACAAAAACTAAAAATAAATAAATAAATGTTAAAACCCAAGTTACAAATATTTGCAAGCTCACAAATCTTGAGCTCTCGCATGATGTGGCACAAACATTGGTATCACATAGCTGAAGATCGGTGAGGTGAGGATCGTTGGGAACGGTGGGGGCAGAGCTTTCAATGTCTCTTTGAAGTCGAGCGTTGATCGCTTTGGCATAACGAAACCCTCGATGAGAAGCGAATTTTGCACTTGACCAGCGACAGTGAGAAAAGTGTTGACAGACAGTTTTAGAGGACGATCGAACGAGTGAGCGACTGAGCGAGCAAGCTGCCAATTTGGTCATTTGGCTCATTCATTAACGCCAAATTCCAATTCAGTTAACGTGACTGCAAATGCGACTTGCGGCTTTTCACTGAAATTCACCCGCTACAAACGAGTTTTCGCTCGTCTTTGTCTTTTTGGTGGCTCCATTAGATGCCAGGCAGGTGAAACTTTATTTGGTGTGGGTTGTATTTGGTGCCCCCTACACTATAGCTGCGGCCTGTTGTTATATAAACTGCATTCAGAGTGAGTGCAACGACGCCTCAAGGTCATTGAAATCGACTCGAATCGCAATCGAACATTTGTTGTGGAAACTTTTCGTTGCAGACCCAGTTGCCAATTTGCTGAACTCTGTCTCGCCATCCAATGGGCCACAATGAAAACCTTTTCACTTAACTGTATATCAGCTCGTCTTTTCCCACTCTTTATCAAATCTCTTGCCATCACTGGACAACCAATACATCTTGTTGAGTTTTATTGACCCATCATATTTGGCAATTACTTTTGATCCTCACTAAATGGCTCTTACGATTGCAGCTAATCTTTTCAATTGGCAGGAAGTTGCTTTGCTCTGCCTAAACTTTAACTTTAATTGAATCATTTAACTTTTCGCCCATAAAAGGTGTTACTACTTTTTCTTTAGTCTCGCAGTTTTAATTAACACTTTTCACGAATGCCTAAATGATGGCAAATAGTTACGTAAACGGGTTGTATTGATTTTTATTTTAATGATTTATGTTGCTATTTTATTAAAATGATATATATAGATTTTTTCAATTTAAAAAACATTAAAAAAATTGTATAGTATTTTAAACTGAATTTAATGTTTTCTTTTTGGCATTTTGTTCAACGAAAACTCTGTCCGTGAAAACATTAAGGTATTTAAATTGAATTAACGAATATTCCGCTCAGATGCGAGATATCCGGCAGGGACTCACTGAATACGGAGTTCAATTGAACAGAGATACAGAGAGAGGCAAAGAGAAATTCTGTTTTTATGCAAATTCGTGTTGAGTTGGTCGAGCGACAGGTGTAAATTATAAACTGAAAATTGTTTTTACCTGTCGCTGCGGCTACTGCTGCGCGTAATTATTTGTAAATTTGTAAAGCAACAAAAAAAAAAAAAAAAAAAGGAAAACAGAAGTAAATAAAAGGAGTTAAAGACAACAACTGCAAACGACACAAAAGAGACGAGGTGAATGGAAAATGAAAGGTGAACGAGCACAAAAAATACACACACATGGAAAAATAAGAAAATTCCTCAGCGCAGGAAAAAACAAAAATAAAATGCAAAAAGAAAAAAGAAAGAGTGAAATGGCAAACGAAAGAAATGGATTTTGCAAAAATATCACGTACGAATCATTTGAAGACCTTTGATTGTTCTTTTATGCAACAGGCCGAACGGGAAACGGAAATGCCGCGCTGAAACAGGAGCTCTAGCTGAAGCGAGAGCCACAGTCATAGCCCAGCGGACGGCAGGTGGGTGGGTGGGTCAGGGCGGTGCAAATCATTTGCAATGCGAAATGAATGCCGACGTGGGGCCATCGTTGATTGTTGTGTGAAACTTGGCGCTGCATACAAAATGAGCGAAAAGAATCAGGCCACAGGAGAAGGGAGGGAAGGAGGGGCGTATTAATTGATAAGGAAATACGGAACAACAATTGACAGACGACGAGAAGCGAAAGAAAACAAAGTTGAAATTTAATTGCATAGAAAATTGATGGGGGGAAAATGGGGCAAAATCTCAAGAAAGTCGTTTTAATCAAGAACTAGGTCTGCACTCGAAGAGGTATGGAAATTATTATTTAGATATTTGCATACAGAGGCGGAGTTAGAGGCAGGTGCATAGCAAAGACACGAACCACTAGAAAGGGCTAAAGTGCAGTTGAAGAATGTCAATGTGCTGAGGCAGTAGAGAATGTCAATTGAGTTTCTCTGGAGATGAGGTACATAATACGATAAGTAGATAAAGTAATTGTTTTAATAAGCAGATAATTAGCTAAAGAAGATAAGCTTATAAGTATGAAAATTTTGCTAGGCAGTCGCATGCCAAGATCGTTAGCAAAGACACGAATCACATTTATGTTAAAAAGAGATTGTCCGCAGCACTTTTGTTTCTTTGAAATATACCACAGAGTACTCTTAAGGAAAAATATTTGAATCAGATAATAAACAGATTTTGTTTAGAGATATGACATATATGGGAAATACATGCATATCAGCCAGATATGGTATGCAAGAGACATTTGCATATGACCTGACAGCTCATAGCGAAGACACAAACCAGTGAAACATGCCTCAGCATTGTCTAGGAACATGTTAATTCTCTTAAATGTTTTGCAAACTCCGTATTAAAAGAGAGAGCTGAAATAGAGATATTTGGAAAGATGATAGGCATATACAAATTTAGGTTAAATACATAGAAAGAGGTCGCTTTTCGCTTTGCTGGTATGACATGCATAAGACAGCATTGAGCAGCGCAATGCATAGCAAAGATACCAACCAGAAGGACTTAAAAGGAAACGAAATGTTAATAATTTCCTTGCTAAGTGAATTGCCATAATTGAAGGAATAACGATATATTAAAAGAAGAAAAAGAAGAATGATAAAATTAAGATAAGAAAAAAATAATTTTTTAATTAAATAATTTAGTTTAATAAATTATGTAGTAAATATAAAACAAAACTAATAATAAAATTATATTAATAATATTTCCTTAAATATTATAATTAACTAAAAAGAATTTTATGAAATACATACCAAAATTTAAAGTACTTCTAAAAAAAAAAAAAACATTCTAATTAATTAATTATAGAATCTCTTTCTGTAATTTCAACACAAAATTTATTTCCCACATAAAACCCCACTTCAGCTTTAATATATCCACTCATTTGTTTACCTAATCGCGCACTTGTGCTTTTCAAATTTTCAAATTCCTATTGAGTTTGAGAAATCTTGGGAAATCCATAATATTGAACAGCAAGAGACCCAAAGACACAGCCAAGTGCTGTACAAATTTGTTGGCTGTGGCAATGCGAGCCAAAGACGACAATCGCGTCATGGATTGCAGGCGAGTATCTCGCTCCACTTAAATGCCGAAAGATCTCTGACAATTGAACAAATTGCAAATGCCATTGTTATTGTTGCTGTTGTTGTTGTTGTTGTTTTTACATACTCGAATGCCTACAGTTATAATTGCATAAGTGCGTCGTCTCCCCACACACACACAGACACAGACGACTTCAGTGCGACATAGATTGCGATCTGACATGGCATGGGAATAGTTGTGGGAGCAGATCTTTGTCGTTGCTCTCGAGACACACT